AACTTTAATGCCAGTAGCTCACAAAGTGGAATTTTTGCTCACAAGACTCCACAGCTTAGAGGGAACATTGCTCCTGGCACTAGGAGTCAGAGGCTGACTACCTCTGGATGTCGAGGTTTCTCTTCATCACCATGGCTAGTAGCTACTGACAGACCTCTCCTCCATGAATCGACCTAATCCGCTTTTAAAGTTATCTATGCCTGTGGCCATCACTACTTCCTCTGGCAACAGATCCCACATTCTAGCCTCTCTGTGTAAAGAAGCATTTCCTTTTGTCCGTCCTGAATCTACTGCCCATCAGTTTTGTCTGATGCCAAATTTAAGTACTTTCGGGAGAGAGAGAGAATAGTCTCCTTGTCCTCTCTCTCCACCTCATGCATAATTTTATAAACCATAAAAGCATCTCTCCTTATATATAACTGAATAGTGGGTGCCAAAGTTCTAATTCTAAAATGCACTCCCTTAGTGTATGGCTGATGGCACTGCTCCTCAGCATATATCGCCACCAATCAGAAGGCAAAGCCCGGGTTCCGCCCACACCACAACTGCTGCGACAACCTGGTCTCTTGCATATGGAAGCTGATTGGACTTCACTCCATTCCACACCTCAAACTCCCCCCCCCCGCAAGGCAGTTGGAATGTCAGTTGCATATGGAACCTGCTGTATTCTGGTGGTGTGCAGGTCCCAGGTTCATGTTTTAAAAGCAGACTGACACTGTTTGCCCAAAGCCAGAGCACTCTCCCAGAGCCTCTTTCTAGATCTCGTTGTATTTATTTCCACAACGGGCCTTATTTCTAGTAATTTTATAAAAGCAGAATTTTCATGTTCCCCCCCCCTCCTTGTCGTCTCTTTTCTAAACTTCATCAAACTCACGAGACCTCATATTGGAATAAATATTGCTGATCTTTAAGGCATCGCTGGACTTATGTTCTGATTATATTTGTAAGCAGCACACCCAAAGAAGTACTCTTGAAATACACTGTTGAAACTGAATCTTGGGTATTATCAGACAACAGGACTGGGCCCCTCACTGATAATCTTACTGCACCCCTCTTCAAAGGAAGATCCCAGCCACTGCTAGGTTCATTGTTTTGTTTGCGAACACATTTTTTAAAAAAAACTTAGTATTTGAAATCCCTGTCACTGCAGATCACAAAGCAGCAGCTATTGAAACACAGGAGAGGCAGAGACGAGCACAAAGAGCAAAGAGAGATGGCTTACCGTTCCTGATCGAGGTCTGCTTGGAGGGGCTGAAGAATCGGCAGGGCCTGTGAACTCACAGGGGAGAGACGGCGGCTCCGTTCCAGAGGTGGAGGCCTTCTCCTTCCTCCCTTTAAAAAGCTTATCTGGTTTAAAGCCAAAGTCAGCCAGGCAGCAAAAGTGAAAGCAATTCTGTTTGTGCAGAATCCACTCCACTCCCTTCTATTGGTCCGCCCTTCCAGGAAGAAAGCTGAGGGGAACTGCAATAAAAGTTCTGTCAGCAGGAGTGCTTTTTAGGTAGATTGGATAAACGTATGGAACAGAAAACCATCAGTGACTATCAGCCACAAGGTAGAGGTGGAACACTCTGTCTGGGGCAGTGATACTCTGCATTCTTGGTGCTTGGGGGGGGGCAACAGTGGGAGGGCTTCTGGAGTTCTGGCTCCACTGGTGGACCTCCTGATGGCGCCTGGGTTTCAGCCTCTGTGTGACACAGAGTGTTGGACTGAATGGGCCGTTTGGACTCCTCTTGTGTTCTTACGGAGTATTGATCTTCTAAGACCAGAATCCCCCTGGTTCACAACTCCCAAAGTGAAAACTGCATATTAAACTGTCCTTTTATTATTTAGTTTAGTTATTAACCATGCTCTCTGTTAAGTCGCTCGCTTAACAAAGTAGTCAGAGAGCGATTCAGCAAGAACACAACTTTATTCTTCAACTCGAACACAACTCCAGTACGGATCAACATCTGATAGCCAGAACAGCCTTTACATTGCGGCTGTCCTGCTTTTAAACATTCCCGGCTAATGTAGCCACACCCACCAACCAATACGGTTGTTCACATAAGGACCAATCACGGCCGTTCCCACTCAGGGAGCTTGCTGCGAAGTGATTGGCTTGTTACTTCCTGGGCTAGCAATACTATTGGATGTATTTGGATCCTAGCCCAGAATGAAGCTTAACATTACAAGTCAATGAGATGTTTCACATACATCATGCATTCCATGGCAGCTTTAGAATACACTACTAGTGTTGCCAACTCCAGGTGGTGAAATTCCTGGAGATCTTGGCAGTGGAGCCCTGGGAAGGTGGGGTTTGGGAAGTGAAGGGACCTCAGCCAGGTATCCTGCCAGTCAGTGCCACCCTCCATAGTGGTCCTTTTCTCCAAGGGAACTGACAGTTTTAATTCTGGGACATCTCCAGGCCCAACCTGGAGGTTGGCAAACATAGTTCACCATCATAATGATGCTTAAAGCAGTTTACAAGATTATCCCCCAATCTACAACACATCACATAAAATTCCTAAAAACAGTGTCCAGTAGAAGCCAGAAAGAACTATAAGAGCCATAAAAGATCAGCATTCGGGGGGGATGTTCCTATATGTGAGGAAGAGGAATTTGAGGAGGAGAGGATTAACACCCCACTCTTTACTTGGCACTTTCACACACTCTATCAAGTTTATTACAGTCATAGACCAGTATAATAGAAGACAAGTAAACACAGTTAAGGGAGCAGTAAAATTATAAAATACAATGGCATCTAAAATTATAAATAAGGATCTAAAAACTTTACAGATATAATAGAATCAAAATTATGATCAAAGGTTAGGTTTAGGCCTATCTGAACTTTATCTCTTTCCTAGTTTGGTATGCCAGCCAACCAAAACTGGCAACCATCCTAGTCAGCCTTTGATTATCTCCTGCCAGCATAATTTACAAAAGTGTCCTTCTATTACGACCTGGGAAGGAGTTAACTATCGGCTTGATCAAAACCACACACTCTAAATAATGCACTTTCAATCCACTTTCAATCCACTTTGCAATTGGATCTTACTGTGTGAAATGGCTAAATCTACTTGCAAACAGTCGCTGAAGTGGATTGAAACTGCATAATTTCGCCATGTGTGACAGCGCCCTTGTTAGAGAACCTTACAATCTAATTTCCCTTCCCTTCCCCACAACAGACATCCTGTGAGGTAGGTGGGGCTGAGAGAGCTCTGAGTGAACTGCTCTTGAAAGAACAGCTCTGAGAGAACTGTGACTGGCCCACGTTCACCCAGCTGGCTGCATGTGGAGAAGGGGGAAATCAAGCCACTCCTCTTAACCACTTCGCCAAACTGGCATCCCTAAAGTAGGGTTACTAACTAAAAGTTGGGAAATACCTGGAGATTTGGGGGGAGGGGTTTGCCTGAGGAGGGTGGGGTTTGAGGAGGGGAGGGGCTTCCACAGAGTGCAGCATTTTTCTCCAGGTGAACAGATCTCTGTTGCCTGGAGATCCCTTGTAATAGTGGGAGATCTCCAGCCACCCCCAGGAGGCTGGTAACCAGTGTTCCCTCTAAGCTGCGCTAGTGTGATAGCTCACAGTTTTTTAGCCTCCGGCTCATACATCCGGGAGGAGCTGCGATGGCTCAAGTGGTTAAGATGCTGAACTGCAGGCTGTGGAAGGTCGGTAGTTCAGCAGTTCGAGACCTGAGTGTGCTGCATGACGGAGTGAGCTCCTGTCTCTAGTTCCAGCTCCTGCCAACCTAGCAGTTCGAAAGCAAGAAATTGCAAGTAGATAAATAGGTACCGCTTCGGTGGGAAGGGAACAGCGTTCTGTGCGCCTTGGTGTTTAGTCAGGCTGGCCACCTGACCACGGAAACGTCTTTGGACAGCGCTGGCTCTTCGGCTTTGAAACGGAGATGAGCACCGCAACCCTAGAGTCGGACTCAACTGGCTTTCGAGCAAGGGAACCTTTACCTTTTACATACATTTTAATCTTAGCTCAGGAAGGATGGCTCCAGAACAAACTAATTTATGTAGCAGCCAAATGGCTCGCTCCCAAAGTAGAATTTTTGCTCACAAGACTCCACAGCTTAGAGGGAGCATTGCTGGTAACCCTACCCCAAGAGAACAAGGAGAAACGACGACTGAGGGGTGACATGATTGAGGTTTATAAGATTATGCATGGGAAAGAGCAGGTAGAGAAAGAGGTACTTTTCTCCCTTTCTCACAACACAAGAACTTGTGGGCACTCCATGAAATTGCTGAGCGGTCGGGTTAGAACGGATAGAAGGAAGTACTTCTTCACCCAAAGAGTGATTAACACTTGGAATTCACTGCCACAGGAAGTGGTGGCGGCTACAAGCATGGACAGCTTCAAAACGGAATTAGATAAGCATATGGAGCAGAGGTCCATCAGTGGCTATTAGCCACAAGGTATAGATAGGGATTCTGGGGAAAGTGATGTTCTGTCTTCTTGGTGCTTGGGGGGGGGTCAACAGTGGGAGGGCTTCTAATGTCTTGGCCCCACTGCTGGACCTCCTGATGGCACTGGTATTTCTGGCCACTGTGTGACACAGAGTGTTGGACTGGATGGGCCTTTGGCCTGATCCAACATTGGCATCTCTTATGTCATGTTCTTAAGGGAAAACTTGGAGAGACAGCCCAGCTGCGGGCTCTCTGTGGCTGCCAAACCGGGAAATTTTTAGCAAGAGGCGGCTGAGCTGAACAGTTGCACGCCGGTCGTTCTTTCCCACCGGGAACGCTGCCCCGCTTACCCTTCCTCTGGCCGCTCAAAGAGCTGATTTCCGAGAAAGAGAACCTGAACCCCAGGGATTTCGCTTTCCTTTTCCGGGCACTCGCTTGCTTGACGAGCAGACGCTGCGGAAGGGTGGGGGTCTGTGCGTGTCTCCAAGTTGGGAGACTGCCGGCACACACGCCCCGCTGCAGGGCTTTATTTTATTTTTTGGGGGGCGAGAGTCCAGTCTATTTCGGTCGGTCAGGCGACAAGAGCCGAAAACCGGATAAAGAGCGAGGGGAGAAACCGAGGCCGCGATCCGTCCAGCCGCGCTGTCTTTTAGCGCCCCCTGGTGGCCAGCGGGCTCCGGGCCGCGGCCGCCGGAATCCGCTTTTGCTTTCGCTTTCCGCAGCCGCGCGGTGTCTCGACGAGAGGACGACGAGTCTGAAGGTCGGAGGAGGCGGGCAGCAGGGCGGGTGGAGAAAAGCCGCCGAGGGACGGGAGGAAGCCAGACCCCGGGAGCGGAGAGAGGCGAGGGAGGAAGGAGTCGCGCTGCCCGCCGCGGGAAGCACGTAAGGTAAGGCGATCGCGCCCTCGGCCCGGGCGGCGTCTTTTCCAGGCTTCGCGGCGATCGAGGCACGGGGAAGCGGCTGCAGCCGCGCTTCTCGAACCCTGAACGGCGCAAGAAGAGGGGAGGGTGTTTGAAAGCCTTTTATTATATGTATGTATTTCTATGCCACTTTTCCACCCAAGTAGGGTGCTCCCAGGAGGCATGCTTAGTTCTGGGCGATCACAGCCTGAGCCAGCGGTCGCTTTCTAGGCTGAGTGCCCTAGCCGCGCTTTCCCCCAGTTGTGGGGCAAATGCGCCCGCGGGCACATCTGGGCGGCTGAAGTCCCCGTTTGCTCGCGTGGCAGCGGAGGCGGCGGGCGGGTCAGTTTTCTTGCAGGAGTTTTGTCGACGGCTTGTGTGTCTGGGTGGGTAGCAGTGTTCCCTCTAAGCTGAGTTAGTGTGAGCTAGTTCACAGTTTTTTAGCCTCCAGCTCACACATTTTTGTATCAGCACAGGAAGGAGGGCTACAGAGCAAACTGAGAGTCATGCAGCAGCCAAATCGCCCGCTCCCAACTTTCATGCTCGTACTAGCTCACATAGTAGAATTTTTGCTCACAAAACTCCACGGTTCAGAGGGAGCATTGGTGGGTTGGTGTGCGGGGGGGGGGAGTTTGTCGGGTCTCGGTGCCATACGGGGCTTTCCCCGTCCCTTTTTTGGGTCCCCTTGGCGTGTGCTGAGAGAGACCAACCATGAGCGTTAGGGCTTGTTTCTGCCGCCCCATCGATGCGCCCAGGGCTGGAAAGGGGACACGATTCTGGCGTCAATTTGGCTGGAAGGCAGGCGAGGGAAATTGGGGAGGGCGGAGCAAAAGAGTATCCGATCCTCGTTTCTTACAGCTGGGCTGCATTTTACGAGGGGGGGGGGCGCTCTCTCTCGGACGGCGGGATCTGGTTGCCAACGGGCTGGGAGAAAAATGCCCCCTACCCTCTGAATGAAGTTGTGAACGTGGGCAGTTGAAATATGGAATTCAATTTATGATTCATTGGTTTTTTAAAAAAATTCCTGTTGCCTTTGCACCTAGTCAGGGTCCTTCAGATGGGGAACCTAAAAAAACCCCCTAAAACTCTTGAAATTTCCCTTTGTGAATTAGATGCCGATAAGTCTCTATTAAAGGGACAGGCGTTTTTTATATTTCTCCAGGCCACTTTGCAACCCCAGGCAACAGGTTGTTCCAGCATGCAAGCGTCAGGCATAAAAGCCAGCGAGGGAGAAATTTCAGCTAGACCTTTCACAAGCCAAAGCAGCTCCTCTCTCTTCTTAGCCAGCAGATTCCCCAAGGATCTAACCAGACCCGGCACTTGGGGGGGGGGGGAATGGGCAATCAGAACTTCCCAACATTAGTTAAAAGCAAATATCTGGCACAGTGAGCTTTAGCTCTCGAAAACTCATGCCCCAACAGTCATGCTCCGAAAAGGTGCTGCTGGACTCCAATCTCACTCTTCTACAATAAACCAGTACTGCCACCACCTGGAAGTAAAAGCAAATAGCAGCTGACTGCTGAGACTGCAGTCTGGGGAGAGAAAAGGCTTACCCATTCCACCCCCTTGTGGTCTTCCCCATTGCAGTAAGACTCTGACCAGCCCTCCCGCACACACACAGTTTTTGACCCTCCTGTCATGCTGCAACTGTGGCTGGCCTTTAAAACCCACAATGATTGGGGGGGGGGTTCACCAGGAAGATCAAGGCACACAAGACCCAGTTCACATGTTATAGTGCAAACGTGTCCAACCTGCATGGAACCCTGTTTGTGAGAAAGAGCCAACACGGGTTGGCATGACAAATGAAACCAGGGATTGACCCCTGGAGAAACGAGTGGTTTCAGTCACACATCTGGCTTGTAAGTGCATTTAATGTAAGGTGGGAATTGCTCGATGCATCTGCAAGGAAGTATCGAGTGTACGATGTGCACAGATTGCTCATGTGTTCATCGTGACTTGTGAACAATGCTACAGATTTCTCTGTCTCTCTTCCTGGGACTGGAATTGTCGAACCGTTAGATTTGAGTCCTGTAGTACCTTAGAGACCAACAACAGTTTCAGGGTACCAGCTTTCGAAAGTGAAATTTCCCTTCGTCAGATACCCCCAAACTCTTGTAGGCCTCTAAGCACTTAAACCTCACTGTTCTACTGCCGACCAACACCTGAAACTGGATTATTGTTGTGATTAATGCTCTGGGACAAGCTGGGAAAAGAATCTGCATGCCAGTTTGGTGTAATGGTTAAAACCGTGGACTCTAATCTTGGAGAACCCGGTTTGATTCCCTACTCCTCCATGTGCAGCTGCTGGTGTGACCTTAGGTCAGTCACAAGTACTCTCAGAGCTGTTCTCTCAAGGGCAGTTCTCAAGAGAGAGCTCTCTCAGCCCCACCTACCTCACGGGGTGTCTGTTGTGGGGAAGGGAAGGGAAAGGAGATTCTAAACCGCTCTGAGACTCTTTTGGGTAGTGAAGGGCAGGATATAAATCCAATCTCTTTGGTGTGGGGAAGGGCTACATACAAAACAAAAGCCTGTTGGTTCCATCTACTGTGTTGTGTTACGAGGACCACAGGGGGGAGATTTTCACATTCAAGGCCACAATGGTGGGCACTATTTGATGCCTCGTGTGGGGTCCCAGTCCTTGCTGAACTTGTAGGCATTTTTGGAATTCCGAGAATAGGTGATGGAAGCCATAGCAAAGTGCAGGCTGGGAGGAACTGTGGCTCAGTGGCAGAGCATCTGCTTGGCATGCAAAAGGTCCCAGGTTCAATCCCTGGCATTTCCAGTCGAAAAGGACCTAGTAGAAAGTGATGTGAAGGACCTCTGCCTGGGACTTAGGAGAGCTGCTGCTAGTCTCAGTAGACAATACTGACTTTGATGGACCAAAGGTCCGATTCAGTACAAGGCGTGTTCGTGTATATGTATTCATTTGACTAAGAGAGCTTTGACTCCTGAGAGCCTATATTCTAGAAATCCGGTTGGTCTTTAAGGTGCTGCTAGATTCGAATCTTGCTCTTTTATTTATTTAGTTAGTTATTTGAAGCCTGATTCTCTTCCCAGTCGGAACCCAAAGTGGATTCCATCGCTCTCCCTTTCTCCATTTTATCCTCACAACAACCCTGCTAGGTAGGCTAGGCTGAGAGAGCGTGATTGGCCCAAGATTAACCCCTGAGCTCCCAGGCAGAGCACATGTGGGTCTGTAAGACAGGTGGCCCATTCTGGGGTTTGAGCGTATGCACATGAATTCAGTGTACTTACAAAATGATCCACAAAGTTACTTAGACCCATGATTAGAGACGGTGGTCTACACAATGTGTATAGCTTCCTGTCAGTAGAATCTTACAATGTTTTTTTGCATTATTTGGCATGTCGTGTTAATACTTAACGCTTTGCTCCAAATCTGTTTTTAGATTTCTGGTTTGGCTCCACAACTCCAATCCTGTTGCACTGTTTATTGGATGTCCCATCCTGTTGATCGTATTGAGTCACCCTGTGTAATCCTCCTCGAGCCCAAGAGAGAAAGGTGGACTATAAATAGCTTAAATAAAAGCTTCTTATTTTTAATACGGTGTTAGGAATTGCTGAAGCTAAAACCTCCCTCCTCCTTTTCACTGTAGAACTTCCAGATCTATGGCTATGGAAGAATTCCAGGTCGCTATCCATCAGGGGAAGTTGTCAGACGCCATCTCCGTGGTGCAGGCGAAACCCGCGCAGTATTTCAGCAACACGCCGCTCAATGTCGCCATAGTGGGTGAGCCAGGGTCGGGGAAGTCCTCCTTTGTCAACAGCATGCTGGGGAAACGCTCCGGCGAGCCGGGCTCCGCCGAGACCGGCATTCAGGCGACAACAACAAAGGCCAAGGATTACCCACTTCTGATGCTTCCACAAGTCATCCTCTGGGACTTGCCTGGGAGAGAAGAATCTTACGGCTCCCGCGTTAATCAGGTGGACCTGAACCGCTTTGACTTCTTCATCATCGTTGGCTACCAGCGTTTCCGGACTGTCCACGCTGAGCTGGCCCACGAGATCCAGGCGATGGGCAAGAGGTTCTACTTTGTGCGGGCCAAAACAGACCTCGACCTGGAGGCCTCCCGGAGACGGCAGGCATCGGGCTATGACGATCAGAAGGTCCTCCAGCGCATCAGGGAGGACTGCGTGACGTGCTTGCTGAACGAAAACGTGATCGACCCCCAAGTCTTCCTGGTGTCCAACTGGGACCCCCAGAGCTTGGACTTCCCCCTCCTGTTGCAGAAGCTCCAGAGCGACCTCTTGTGGCTGAAGAGGCAAGCATTCATTTTCAGCCTGCCTTCCCTCGCTGCACCTGTCTTGGAGAACAAGAAGGCCGCGATGAAGGGGAAGATTTGGATCAAAGTCCTGTTCTGTGGGTTTTTGGGTTTGCTGCCTGTGCCAGGGTTCTCGTTCATTGTTGCCATGTTCTTCTTTGTGAAGTTCCGTTCTCAGTGCTACCAAGTGTTCGGCCTGGACTACCCGTCGCTCACAGCTCTAGCAAGGGATGTTGGGAAGCCGGTGACGGCCCTTCAGGCAGTGATGGCATCCAAATCACTAATGCCCATCATTCTCTGGAGGCTTCCCGACCTCGTGGGAGCCACTCTGATGATGGTGGAGTATTGTTTGTGGAAACGCTTCCCCTTCGCCGGCTGCTTGGTGTCAGGAGGCAGCTCGTTTCTTACCAGCTACTACATGCTGCATAGATGCCTAACAGCCGTCGTCAAAGACACCCTAAATGTCCTCTCCAGAGCTCTAGAAGGCAGAGAGAGGACGCCAATCTAGAAGATGCCAGTGTAAAAGCAGATGCAGTAACAGGGTATTCTGTGATACTGCAGTCAGGTCCTGGAAAGAGGGGACTGGGTTTGGTGTTAGAGGAGTTTGCTAAGACTCTGCATGACCCTCACCCTTTCCCCAAGTTCAGTCTGGGAGATACAAGACTCATTCTTTATTTTTATTTGGAAAATCATTCATCCATTCTGTCCCCAAACATAATTTACCCTTCTCTCTGTTTAGAGTACATCCACGTTCCTAACAGGGAGAAAAGGAAAACAAAGCACATACTCTGAGAGAGAATATGGCACCAACCCTTGACTGAGGTAATGGTGCTAAGAGATCAGAGGCCGAAGAACAGATTTAAACGTTGGGGGGGGGGGGTCTGTAGAGAGCCAGTTTGGTGTAGTGGTTAAGTGCGCGGACTCTAATCTGGGAGAACTAGGTTTGATTCCCCCACTCCTCCACTTGCAGCTGCTGGAAGACCTTGGGCAAGCCATAGTTCTGTCAGAGCTGTTCTTAAAAAAGAGCAGTTTCTGTCAGAGCTCTCTCAGCCCCACTGACCTCACAGAGTGTCTGTTGTGGGGAGGGGAAGGGAAAGGAGATTGTAAGCCGCTCTGAGACACCTTTGGGTAGTGAAGGGCGGGCTATAAATCCAATCTCCTCTTCTTCTTCTGTATCTGTTCAGTGTGCCAGTTCTGGAGGGAGACTTGAGAACTCTCTCGAGTTCCCATCAGGAATTATTGTAATTAATAAAATTACATGCTCTGTCTGCACAAGCTTTGAGTGAATCCTCTCTCTCCCAGACTGATCTCGGGGAAAGGGGAGGGGTCGTGCTGGGATTTAGCAACCCCCCCCCCGACAGTTGGCAGGCATAGAATTCCACATCTGTTTCAAACAAAACCCAAGTTTCTAGGCCACGTTATTCGAAAGAGTCAGGGCCGTATACCTTGAAAATGATTTGGTACCTTTGCAGTCCAAATTCAGTGCCAAAAAAAACTGATTTCTGCGACCCATGTAAATTATGCAAGCGGAATACATTTGTACAGTTTCTCTTATTTTACAATAATTATGTTCTGGATTTGCTAATAATGATATGAGTCAGCGCAATCCCGCCTCTGCTTTCAGGGAGACCCCTTGTGCCTTATGCCCATCAGGCAACCCTTTAATACTAACTTTAAATCCTATTTACTGGGGGCTGCTTTTTAAAAGTTGTGGTAGGAGGAGATGAAATCTGGAATTTTTTTTGGGGGGGTGTTATTTCAGGGTGGGATGACCAGTATAAAAGAGGTATCTCTCACCGGCTGTCAAAAGCTACTTCAAGAAACGAGGGAAGGGCCCCTCCAAGGCCCCGATTGCCCCTCCCAACTCCTGATTTCCCCCCGTGTGTAAATAGCCCCCCCACCATATGATCTTTATAAAGAGTTACTGATTTAGAAAGAATGAGACACGTATGGATGGTAAAATATCCCTTATGCATTTTTGCTTAATAACGTGAGAAAATATATTTTAAAAAAACAGGAATGACTTTATTTCTCGATGTTAGTAATGATATTTGTAGCAGATGTCTTTTTTTCCTTTCTGATTGTAGCACGGCTGTTGAGTCTTCAAGAGATGATGCAAATAAAATACTTCTTCAAATGACATTTCAGTTAACAGTAGGGTGTTTTGTCATGGCAAGGATTCATTATTTTTATTAACAACATTTTTATCCCACCTTTCCACCCAAGTCGGGGCCAGCAGAGTGGGATTAAAATACATAATCCAATAAGTTAAAACCAAAACCAACACATACATACACAGAAACGTTTCTGGTGCACTTCATTTAGGGAAGTACTAGTCTCATCTCTCGTTTGTCTGATTTCTGTACTGTTGTCCCGAATTTTACCCACCACAGCAATCTTTGCTAGCACTCTCTGCATCCCATCACTGGGTCTTATTTCTGGTTTCCCATTTCTACGTCGGGGTCCCCAACATTTTTGAACCTGTGGGCACATTTGGGATTGTGACATGAGGTAGTGGGCATGTGAAGGAATGCATTTTTTTCTTTGGAGGTTTGAAATCAGCAAAAACCCCACTCTGAATTCTTTGTAAAAAAAAATATTCTTCTGGGCAGTGAGCAAGACAGGAAGGGGGAGGTCAGTCAATGGCTTTCCAGGCTCACCTTGGCTACCTCTTAAGAAATGATAATAGATCTAGCAGGAGAGATAATGGGTGGGTCAAGCTCTCACCCCCCCCTTCTCCAAGCAGGGAACAGAAATTTGGAGGACTTTGGACTAGACAGGGTCCGGGAATAATCTCCAGGAAGAAACTGCAGGAAACACTTCTCTGACCTGGTCAGTGGGTGGGGGAAAGAGAGGGGAGGAAGGCGGAAGCTCTCTTTGGTTGGTGTGAAGTCCAGCAGAACAGAGAGAACTCTCAGCTGAAGAGGCAGCCATGTGCTGCCCTAGAAAGCTACAGAAAGATTCAAGGAAATGTAAACTCTATAGAGATCTGTAACGTCGTAAGCTTTAGAAACCTGTCCTATTTTAACATCTGATAGGGCATGTATAGGGAGAGGGACAAGGAATCTCATTTTACCCATTTCTTTCGGAACCCCTTGCTCAATCTGTTGCTGTGCTAAAAGTATGCTTGTGAACATTTTCTTTTTAATAAATACTTTATACTTAAGATGCAGGTATTGGTTCTCTGTACCACTTAGGACTCCATCGTCTCAGACACAGCATTTAAAAAGGAGCGCCAGGGGAAGGCAGGCAGTTGGCGAGCAGCTATTCCTCCAAGGGCGCACAAGGCAGTAAATTGTCCCCATGGTGACCAGGCCCTGGGCAGCGGGAAACATTGGAAGCTGGGAGTCCTGACCCTTTTTACAAAGGTCAGGTGGTGGCGGCAAGCAACTTGAGAGAGAAAGAAAAGTCTCCAAGTGGTGGGAAAAAACCTTGGAAGGCAGGTTGGAACAGGGCCTGCAGGCCTGAGCAGCCCTATTCCACCACAGCACGCAAACACAAAATGGCTGTGGGAAGAGGCGGAGCCAACCACAGAATAGCTGCCAGAAGAGGCAGAGTTTGCCACAAGCTAGTTAGTCTCCTTTCCTCCCAGGCACTGCTACTCAGGAGGAAAAGAACCCTGCCCCCCCATCCCCCCCCCATGGGAATGAGGATAACAGCCAAGGCCGCTTAATGTGGCAACTCCCTTATTTCTTTTTCAAGTTGTAGAAGGATTGTTTCTCCTTTATGCCCTTGCCAGGAATTCAAAGTGTTCGGTAAAACGGGGTTAAGTGAATTCTGTATAAGAACGTGATTTAGGCTGTCCTTTGAGTGACTGGAGCCTATCCTCCTTGTTTTGTGTCTTCCTATAAAGGATGAAGGAGCTGCGGTGGCTCAAGTGGTTAAGACGCTGAACTGCAGGCTGTGGAAGGTCAATAGTTCAGCAGTTCGAGACCCAGGAGTGCCGCATGACGGAGTGAGCTCCCGTTTCTAGTTCCAGCTCCTGCCAACCTAGCAGTTCGAAAGCAAGAAATTGCAAGTAGATAAATAGTGGGAAGGGAACAGCGTTCCATGCGCCTTGGTGTTTAGTCATGCCGGCCACATGACCACGGAAACGTCTTTGGACAGCGCTGGCTCTTCGGCTTGGAAACGGAGATGAGCACTGTAACCCTAGAGTCGGATTCGACTGGCTTTCGAGCAAGGGAACCTTTACCTTTATAAAGGATGAACTCTGTATCTGCTCAGGATGCCAACCTGTTGGCGAATGCAGCTGGTATAAGAATGAATTCATTCTTACATAAAACTGCCTACTTTTCCTCTCCCAGACAGACCTCGGTGAAGCGGGTGTCTGTTCTTCATTAGGATTCCAGGGAAAATCTCCGAATGGATAGGCCCCTATGGAGTTGGCCTCGAGCGGCTCATGAGAGAACCAAGGGGCTAGATTTATTCCCCTCCCCACAAAAGACACCCTGTGAGGGAAGTAAGGATGAGAGAGCTTTTGAGAACTGCTCATGAGAGAACAGCTCTGAAAGGACTTGCGACTGACCCAAGGTCAGACCAGCAGCTGCATGTGGAGGAGTGGGGAATCAAACCCGGTTCTCCCAGATTAGAATCTGCACTCCTAACCACTACACCAAACAAGGGAAGGCAGGATAGTGGCTAGGCTGTCACATAGATGACAGATCACAACTTGGCAAAGAATCTCTACCCAAATCCTTGGCACTTGCCCTCCCAACAAGTGACAATCAGTGTTCCCTCTAAGCTGAGTTAGTGTGAGCTAGCTCACAGTTCTTTAGCCTCCAGCTCACACATTTTTGTCTTACCTCAGGAAGGGGGGCTCCAGAGCAAAGTAATTTATGCAACGGCCAAATCGCTCACTCACAACTTTAATGCCAGGAGCTCACCAAGTAGAATTTTTGCTCACAAGACTCCACAGCTTAGAGGGAACATTGGAATCCCTGGGAATCTTTGGAAATCTGTAGCAATTAAGCTGGCATGTGGTTAGTTCATTTATGCCCAACCTTTCTCACCAGTGGGGACCCCAAAGCTGCTTACATCATTCTCTATATTATCCTGCTGGTGAGCCTGTGAGGCAGGATAGTCCGAGAGTGCATGACGGACCCAAGGTCATACGTTGACAGTGCCAGTATGCTCCAGTTCTCATGATGCCTTGTGCATTCAGTGGCTTTGGCAACAGAGCCCATTGCTCAAGCTTTTAATTGCATGCATCTGAAGAGCTGTCAAGCCTCAGCGGACTTCCGGGGAACCCAGCCAAGGTGAGTGAGAAGTAGAGATGTGAAGGCCCAGAAAAAACCCGGAACAATTCGGAAAAAACCCAGTTTTTTTCCATTTTTTTCCTGAAGCCTTTTTTGTTTTTTTCCGAAAAATTGGAAAAATTGAAAAAAGAAAAGAAAAAAAAATTGATTATGGAACGTTTTATTTTAACATGATGACTAAAATATTTTAAGACAAGGTGTTCAAATATTTTCCAAATCATTTCTTATATATATGGTATCAGATTGATCTAATGCTTGAGCAAGTCCTAGGTTCCAATTGAACTCTCCAATGCAAGAACAAGATGCATTTCTTCCTTTAGGAGGTATATATATATGGTATCAGATTGATCTAATTTCTGTGCACTGAGGACAAGCAAGTCCTAGGTTACCAATTGAACTCTCCAATGCAAGAACAAGATGCATTTCTTCCTTTAGGAGGTGCTATTGTCAGAAGAAAATAAAAAGGTTTCAGTTTTGTTTTTGCATGTGAGTGGGTATTCTGTTTGTAATAATTAGTAACAGAATGACTTTCAATCTAGAAAAGACAAAAGAAATGATAATGTAGCATTTTTTTCAATTTTTCCGAAAATTTCCGTTTTTTTCCGAAAAATTTCCGGAAATTTTACATCTCTAGTGAGAAGTAGAGGTGGTTGGCCATTGCC